CCATTCAGTTCCTTTAGTTCAAATAAATTAATATCTGCCATCACTCTCTAAATTCCCAGTCTTTGTTTTCAAAGGGTGAATAGACCAAACCCTCAATCCCTTTGCATCAGAACAGGCAGAACAACCCCAAGAGCTTTTTCCATGTAACATTTTTAACCCAAATCAAACCCTTCCTGAATATGGGTGGTATTTGGCCATACTTCTTTCAAACAGGGAAAACATCAAACAGGGTTTCTTGGAATGGCAATTAAAGTCCCCCAGACCTGAGCCCTGCTCCTTGTAACTGCATATACCCTGTTGTTGATGTGATATATAGACAGTGCATTCCCATTTATCTTTCATAATCCACATGGAGTGACCTGGATGAATTGGACCATCTGGAAAGCAGAGTTACTCACAGCCCATTCCTCCACCTACCTGCTCTGCTCAAAGTGAGACTTTGGAAATGGGCAAACTGTAAACCATTTGCTTGTCTGTGGGATTACTCAGGCCAACATTTTCCACATGGGAGCAGCTGAAAACCATCCTGATGATGGTTTTCTGCAGCCCAGAGAAGCCTCTGTCAGAAACAAACCCCTCAAGGCACATCAGTAAAAGCAAGGAGCACAGGCTGGCTGCTCTCCTCTTCACATGTCTCATTCAAAGTGTAGCTCCCTGGCACCTCAGGCTCCTTCTCACTCATCCTGGCCCAAAGCACGGAGCAGGAGAATGTCAGCCACAGTGGTTCATCCTGACAGTGCAAACACAGCCATACACACAGAGCTGTCTTGTCCCAGCATGCTGAGGCAGGTGGAATGCAAAGATTTGGGGCTGACCCTGCTGAACCTCAGGGCAAGCACAGCCTCTCTACACAGGTAACACATCAAAACCAACCCCTCCCCAAGTTTTGGCAGAGTAGTGCTTGGAGAACTTGTCTGTGCCTGCCTCAGGGGACCCCTTCACACATGCTTGCAGAAGAGATGCTCCAGAGTAGAGCCAAGTGTATTCACCACTGCTCTGCTGCAGGTAAGCAACAGCTTGAGAGTCCTCAGAAAATACTCTGGGCAGCAGCCTTAGCCTCCTGGGACACAGGTGTGTCCCTGCTTCCTGCACCTGGGTGACAGATCCCTGAATGCAGTCTCCCAACCCATCTCTTCAGGAGTGTGTTAATTTCTTGTTTTGCTAACTCAAAACAAACTGACAGTGAAACTGACTCAAACGTGACTGACAGTGAAGCCTTTGCCTGTGATGGATTGTGCGCAGCTCCAGGTCCTGCTGCTGGACAGTGACTGCTCTGTGAGTTTCCCAGCTCTGCTCCTGCCCCTGACCCCACAGCCTGCATTGCTGACCATAGCACTTCAAAGCTGAACTTTCCAGAAAGGTTTGGATGGCAAAGCTGGGGCTCTCATGAGCCTGTGCAAGGGACAGTGACACAAATGAGATCCATGCTGGAATTCAATCAGAGAGAAATGGTTTCCTTGTCATTCAGATCCATGCTGGAATTGAGTCAGAGAGAAATGGTTTCCTTGTCATTCGCTCTGCTCCCAGTGCCTCAGGGCATGTGTCACCATGTGTTTGAGCACGGCTGCATCCACACACATCCAAAATGAGTCACGTCTGCTCCCTGCTTCCAGAGATTCCCTCTGACCACTGCAGATGCAGGGACATCTCAAAACAAGCATGTTTAATCCAGGGGGAGTAATGGGCTATACTTCTGGGTTACAGCGTATGAATGCTGGAGCAGAAATAACATTTCAGTTCTTCTTTAAAGCATTGAGATGCTGCCCCACAGAATCCCCATCCCAGTCCCAGCTGGGAGAAAGACTGGAACTGAGCACTGAAAAGATACAAAATCTCCCTTGCTTCAGGTGTTCAGAACATGGCAAATCACTTATTCACCCAAATAAATGTCCTCTGGAATGCTGGCTTGAGCTGTTGAAATACCACAGAAATTAAACCAGCAGCAGGGCTGCAGCAAGCAGGCTGTTGCTGCATTTCCCTGCAGACAAATGCCAAAGTACCTGCTGAGTCACCGCATGGAGCCTAACAGGTTTAACAGTGCAGAGTCAAGAACGCAACCTAAACTCCAGATTAGATATTCCAGAAACACTCTGAGTTTTAAGTGTGCTTTTTGGGCATGCCCACTCTGCGATTAGGCATCTATATATTGTATCTACAGGACGGGCGCTGCCCCCACCACGCCAAACGTGGCTCAGTGAGATTAGCAGTCCTTCAGCGGCGCTAATTAGTGCTGACGCAAGCAGGGATTTCTCCAAGCCCTCGGGGCTGCTGCCTGGAGGTGAGGATGCTCCTGGGTGTGCAGGCGCTGCCCTGCCACAGGGTCGCCCATTCATGTCCCTGCCCTGCTGCTTCGACAAAAAAGTTCCTCCTTTGTCCTCCCGAGGGGCTGCCCGGCGTTCTGCAGCTGAGGAGGAGATAGGGGGAGCGAGGACAGGGGACGTTTGGTCTCCTGAACACCATTGTAACGGGATTTTTCATAATGCCAGTGTCCCATGATGTGAGACACCCGCTGCCTCCAGCTGGGGGCAGTGCCAGGGTGGCATTTGGGGACACCAGTAGACTAGAGCAGCCCAGCCTGCAAGGCAGCTCCAGAGGAGTCAGGCTGGCTTGAACAAAACATGCCAGTTCTCATTTGGTAACCAGACAGATTCTAAGACTGCTCCAGGAAAACCTCCAGGAAAACCAGTTACAAACCCTTTCACACCTGGACAGTGCACTCCCCTGCAGAACAAACACCTGGACCTTGCTTAGGAGAAAATTTGGGCCCACGGACACAGGAACAGCACTGCAGAGCCTGCATCCCCCACAGGAGCTCTGCTGCCTTACAAGAAGCATGAGATGCCTGTGAAAAAAGCACTACAAAATTTTAAAATTTAGAAAAAGAAGACAACAGCACAAAAGGCTTGTGGAGCAGCTTGTTAAACTGAGGAGAAACACACAGCAATGGGACAGGCAGTGGTGACTCCAGGACACCCAGCATCCCTGCTGGGACTCCATAAGCCAGTGCCTTGGATGACATAATGCTTTATGCAGGGAACTCAGGAAGGAGGAACATGCCTGTCTGCTTTTCCACTTTCCCTCACATTACCCTGCCAAAGTAAAGCTTATGAAAGTTGGGCTTAACGATTTTGCCTGAAAAGAGGGTATTTACATCCTTAAGAGCATCTGGCATAATTCTGTATTTCATCTTCCTTTCAAAGGATAATGCAGCTTCTAAAAATTCCCTCCAAGAGCCATTATGATTTTATGCTGCTCCTGATACAATAAACAACTTCATTCGTCAGGCTCCAGGCATTTTGCAAAGAAGCCAGCATGACAATTTACATCTTGCAGAAAGGAACCTGAAGCAGCACAGCTTTCCTAGCAGCAACCAAGACAGCCTGGGAGACACCCACGCTGGCCCTGCAGCCTCCACACTGCAATGCCCCCCTTCCTACACAGCCACAGGATGACCCAACCCTCTGGTAACCTTCAGTCTGCAAGTGTTTAGAAACCTGACCGTGCCATCCATGGTGGTTTTAAAGTCCCAGTATTCACAAGTGTAAGAGAGTGGCTCTGTAGTCATGGGAGCTCAACTTCTTCCTTCTTTTTAAGAGCAAGAAAATACTGTATTTACTACACACACACACACATATATATATGTATATATATATGATGTGTATGCTATACTTGCTCTATAGAAAATACTATAATTACTAAAGCAGAGGAAGTCCACAGCAGCGTGGGTGCTGCTCTGTATTTTTGTAGCAGGCTCAGTCTCCCTCATGGACCATATTGCTGCAAGGACAGTGTGGTGGTTTCATCCATCTGTACACTGTGAACTGCTAAGGCAATCTTTGGTAATTCATTAGCTCTTTTCATCCTCTACTCCTCTTTGAAATATATCCTGATTTCCCGCATGTACAGAAATGGTGGGACATAAAACATAAGACTGTGCCAATGGAGGAGTATAGTGGCCTTCTGTCAGGTATTGCTTTGTTAATCAATAAAAATAAAAAGCTGAAATATAAAAATTGCTCTGACAATGTGGAGTTTCCCTTGTGTTAAAAAAGGCACAAAGCAGCTCTGGACAAGGATGCTCCAACCCACCACATTCCCCTTCTCTGGGACACCAGCAGCCTCCCAGTGCTTCCCTCAAGGCTGCAGCAGCTTGTGTCAGCCCTGAAGGCCCTCAGGAGCCAGCTGGCAGTGCCACTCGTTGGGAAATTCCAATCCCCATCTGCTGGGGATTTTTATATTGCATTCATCCCTCTGGACTAGCATCCTCCTATCCAGGAAAGAAGCCCTGAGCTTCACAAACTGAAATTCAGGTCCAGCAAAATGACAATAGTTGGGTTTTTTTCCAGCTTATGCTACAGGAGCAATGGCATCAGCTCCAGTACAGAACCAGGTGTTAGTAAAGGTGTTTTAAATCCCTGCCCTGCACTACCTGTGTTGTTCCCATTCCTGTTCCTCCTTGGTTCCTGCTGGCTCCAGCATTCAGAAGGAAACTGTTGATGCCTTGTTCGGTTGTCTTCTCAAACACATACTGACATTCCCAGATTTCTGCAGCTACCACTGACAGTGGCTAAGTAGCCAGCCAGGCAGCCCTGTCCTGAACAAGGACTGACACTGACTGGCTTCTAATACAGAGATTTTAAACCCTAGGATGGTTTGGGTTGGAAGGGAAATCAAAGAGCATCTCATTCCAACCCCCTGCAGTGACACCTCCCACTAGACCAGGCTGCTCAAGGCCAGCCTGGCTTTGAACACTTCAGGGAAGAGGCATCCACAGCTTCTCTGGGCAACCTGTTCCAGTGCCTCAACACCCTCACAGTAAAGAATTATACCTTCTTCCATAAGGCATTTTGCTAGAGAAGGAATTCAGTACCAGGAGCATTTAAAAAGGCTCCTCAGGCTTTATAAATCAAAATCAGGAAGGGGGGGGGGCAGAAATAGCGAAACAAATTTAAAATCCAATAATTTACTCTTTCAAAAATCAATTTTAAAGCTTACAAAATACATGGTCATTGTTTAAATGTCATGAGAAATTTGGATTACTTTAGATAAACAGAACATGAAAATACCAAAAAGTGAATTTGAAATCCAGACACATGCCCCACATGCATCAGGCTGTGCCCTCTACTGGAAAGTGGGAATTTTGTCACCTCAGTGTAGTGACACAAGCCAAAAATTAGGTGGTGACCACATTTGAAAGGGCAAAAAACGCTGTCATTTTCAGTCGAGCAGGCAAAAAAGCATCAACAAATCTCCCTGTAGCCATCAACCCTTTCACATCTCAGGTTTGTGAAAAACAGTGACAGATTTCACCCTGGAACACAACAGTTACGCTTGCCAGGCTTTTAATGTTGTTCTGAAATTAATAATGTAATTGCCAGATATGGAAAAAAAGTCACTTGATGCTGCTCAGGCTGAGAGGAGTTTTGAATTACAAAATCCTTCACTAGACCATAAAACCACAGTAGAGGTCTGCTCTTGTGCAGGGCATTATTTCAGAGGATCCATGTATGGATATTAAAGTAGAATCTTCTGGCAGGTGATCAGTTGGAAACCAAACTGCAAAAGCCTTGTAATGTATTTATTCCTCATTCATAGGCAGCAGCTCATAATTAAAGACCAAAACCCCTTGTCCTTCTGCACACAAGGTACAATACCTATTTCATGGTTCACTTAAAACATCTGAGCCTGAGCTGCAAGACTTCACCATTTGTCTCCTTGACACTCGACAATCAGCTCCTCTGAAATGGGAAGCAGCATTTCACACATTCTAAAATATAACAGAGGTATCTGATTAACCCCATAAAACACATCAGCTGCACAAACCACTGCTCCTCTTTCTTCTTTCTGGATCTCAGATGAGCTGGAGCCAGCAATGCAAGCCTGACATGCTCTGGGCAGCCACCATGGTCCAGTGCAACCTTCTGGCATGCACAAGCACAAACCTGACCCCCAGGTAAGCCACAGAGCTCTGCTGGAGTTCTAAGCTGCTTTAAAGAAAACTTCTGATTTTAAAAAGGTCTTTTCCTTTGTCCTTGTAAAATTCCATGGGCTCCCACTGACCTGTTCCTCCAGCAGCCCCATGCCCAAGTTCACCAGCTGGCTCTCCCCAGCATGGTGTCATTTGCAAACATGTTAAGAGTGCACCGAGTTGGCTCCTTCAGATCACTGGGAAAATGTTCAGGAAGCCAGGTGAGACCCCTGCAGCCTTTCCCTTGTCACCAGACTCTGCCTGGAGGTCAGCCTGGCACACACTGAGGGCCTCCACTCCCTCTGAGTCCATCAGTCTGTGCTTTACCCAGCCCACAACACCCTGAACCTTGATATCACAACAGGGTGGGAACAGTGCTGAAAGGCTTGCTGAGCTGAGGTAAACGCATACACTGCTCTCTCCTCACCCACAGGTTCAGTCACTTCATCACAGAGGGCAATCCTGGTGGGCAGGTGGGGCTGACTTCAGTGAATCCATACATTTATACAGACCATTCCCAACCACTTCTCTTTTATGTGCCCAGAAACACATTCCAGGAGGACACATTGCATGACTTCCCACGCACAGAAGCAAGGATGACTCCCTGCAGTGCTCTACATTGTTTCCCAGGCCTTGCTTGAAGAGGGGGGCAATACTTGCTTTCCTCCAGCCACCAGGAATTTCCCTGGATTTCCATTAGTTCCCAATGGGATTTCCATTAAAGATGGTCATGAAAGATGTCCCAGAGGGCATCAGCAGGTTCTCTCTCCATCTTGGATGGGCTCCATCAGGTCCCTGTGCATTTGTATGGGTCAAGTCCTCCAAAATAACCCCTGCTTTGATCTTTACCCACTGCTCCTGCCTCTTCTCTCCTCATTCTACCTCCTCACATAGACCTTGGACATCAGGTTAGTCAAGAGGCATCTGGGTACTGTGTCTACTGTCACTAAATCACCCAGCAACAGTTCCCCATCTTCCTAGTCCAGCACCTAACTCCTGAAAGACAGAGGGGAATGGTCTGGAATATGTCACGTTCAGTACTAGCAACATCAAGATGTAATAAAGGAGTTCTAAGGGGTTGCTCTGGTGCTACAAGCGAGAAACAGGTGTCTATTTTCTATTTCCACAGCCCTTCAAGGACATTCCTTACAAGTAATACTGCTGGAAAGAAATCATCACAAAGCAGCTCCTGGCAGCAATGGAAGAGCCCAAACCTTAGAGCCAGGCAGTGACAGATGCCTTCCCAGATACCCTACAAACAAAATTTCGTTTCAGTAATCATGGATGCATTATTTAGCTGAACATAAAGTGTTTATACATAACTTTCTGACTGCAAATCGTATGTTCATTGTTATTATTGTTACTAATGATACACAAATGTCACTCATTTTTGCCTTGTCTCTGATATTCCCCACACAGCTGGCAACTATAAAAGCTGGCAAACTATTAAGAAATTAAGAATTTGTACAATGTTTCAATTAACACACATCTAATGTTTTAGACTTGCAAGCATCCTTCCTGCTTTTCAAACCAATTTCTTCAGAACCACTATTTATAAACCCACTGATTTTCCCCAGGTAATTTTACAGAATGCACCCAGATTTTTTTTACAGACCATCCGGATTTTACAGAATGCAAGGAAAATAATTACTCTGAAATAACCCTGACACACGGTCCCTTTTAACTACAGATCAACAGCTTTGCATTCCTACCCTGGCTGTAGGAGCAGGCACTAGGGCTCTGTGTGGGATCCCGGGAGAGCAGCACTTCCAGCTGCAGCATGGCTGCCCCTGGTGCCATCTCGTGGTGGGCTGTAGGAGATCCCGGGGCGTTCACAGCACTCATTGTGCTCCACTGCTCTTCTGTTCAGCTCAACTGATGTGAAAACTGGCTTTAGCACACCCTAATCCACGCTTTGCACTAAGAAATAGGGAATTATGAGGTTTAATCACTGTGTCTGCATGCAATTTTTGGTGTTTGCACGTTGCTTGCTAATTTCTCCCTCTACAATGTCAGAAGCATTTTTTTTAAATGCAGTAATTTAAGAGTGCTAAGGTCACTATAAATAAGTCTCTCAAACCCTTAATAAATCAAGTCTTAAATTCCAGAATAGCAAGCAAGAAACAGCAAAGTCTAGAACAGAAAGCAAGCCGAGCACATATTCACAATGTTGTCCCCAAACATTAAGTTTTCTTTGTGGTTTAATCCCTTGCCTTTTCCACATCTGTGGTTTCTCATTTAAAGCTTTTTATCTTCCCAGCTAAAGGCTACTCTAACTACCCCCATCCTTATTTCTGCACCTGACCTGTTACATCCAAGTGTTCCCATGGTCAGAGCTCTACAAGGATATTTAAGTATCAAGAATTTTCCAAAGCTTTCTGGCCTTCCAACGTGTGTACACAACTTTGGGATTAAGATTTTTACTTGCCACCATGCAAAATCCAGAATTTGCTTCAAGCCTGCAATTTTAACTTGACTTTACAGCAGACCCAGGTAAGAAGGCAGCAAAAGCCACACTTTCAAAGCGATAAACAGTGCATTACCCATCCACCATGCCCTGAGCAAGAGCCCATCTTGACAATTTCAAGCCTTCATGTTTTGGCAGGCTGCTGCCCTGCTGTGGTCAGTGCAGTAATGAAGCAAACACTCCCATGCCCCCTATTTCCAGCTCGGTTCTTTTCTTAAACTCTGTTTGAGTGTTTCTTTTATCATGGTTCTGGTATGTGAGGGTAACCAACGTCAAAATCTGCACCTAAATCAAGTGCAAATGCATTCTGTTCAGCCTGACCTTTCCCAGCAATGAACTTCTGAAGAATAAGTGCAGATAATTTTTGGCAGTGCTGGGCTTGTGGTGACTGCCTTCAAAAGCCTCCTGTTTGGAATAAGTTCATCAAGGTCTTGTAATAAGATGTGGCAAGGCCAGTCAGCGACTACACACCACCACGGGTGAAATCGTGTCACATAAATGATGTCAGAAGAACCTCAGCCAATATTTTTGTTATAATCCAGACTTGAACTTTATCAATGATGACTAACCACAAGGCCATGCATTAAAGTCAGAGTTTTCCTTGGCATTAGTGGGAGTTAACACCTTCCAAATGTGTTTTGTTTTATTAACCCTTTCACAACAGCTAATCTCATGCTCCCATGCATAAAAAGGCTTTTGCCCATGAGCACAGCAACCCCACTCCTCATCCAGCAGAGCAGCAGGTTCAGCAGTGTGAGAGGCCAGAAAGAGCTGCTACTTTGTGCTTTGAAATACAGATCCAGACCCTACCCTGGGCTCTAGGAAGAACAGGAGATCATTGCTGGGTAATTTTAAGCTCTCTAGATTCCTGAACTGCAAGTTTAATAGAGTTATGGATGCAGCCTTGAACTAAGTGACAAATGTTAAAGCATTTCTTCTGCCGGGAAAAGTTGTAAGAATCTCTCTTGGACTGTCGGCTAAACCCTATCCTACAGCAAGGTGGCAATGCTGTAAATTCACAACCAATCCAAGGCCTGTGGATCAGGGCTATTACTTTTAAAAAGACTGACAGGGTCCCTATTCTATTGTTTCAAGGAGCACACCAGGGCCAGAAGCATCATTTTTCACCATTACTTTCAGCTACAACAATTAGAAAAGCAAATCACTGAAATACCTTCAGCTGTTTTGAACTTACAACCACCTAGATCACCATTACAGACCAAAAATCCCTACTGCCTTTCTAAAGATTTACTTCATGCCTGAAGAGTAGGATCCAAATGCCTCCATTTAGCATCGCTTTAAAGTGCCACAGTCCAGAAAAGAGATGATAACACCACATAGAATTCTCTGCACATTCCCTCCAACAGAAGCCTTAAAAAGCACATGCACATGTCTTAGTTAATAAACTTTGCACAGCAGCTTCTGGTGGTGCCAGGGTTGTTTATTTTGTTTGTAAGGTTCACCATGTTTACAGCGCGGCTCAGCAGGTGTAGGTTCTTTAGCATCAACCTCCTCAAAGTTATCCATCTCTCCAGGTGGAGCTCTATCACCTTCTCTATCAGCTATGAGGAGCTGCATGTTAAAAATATTATTTTGTAACACTCCACTATTTAAAGTCATTCTACCATGAGTGAAAGGTTAAAAAATAAAGAAAAAAAGTTATAAAATCTAAAGATATGCTCACTGAACAAGTTCAGTCTCAGCACACATGCTGTAATCTCTTGCCTTAACTCATTCTAAAGCCACATATTCAGTGATTTACCTCCAGAGAGCTTTACATAGTTAAGAAAACACGTGGTGTTTGCTACAGGCTGTAATTTCTTACATTTGACTTGAAAAATGCAATGCATCTCCCAAATGTGTTTCCACTGTAACTCCTTGTTTGAATCTTCCACACACTCCTCCTAAGTAGCCTTTCACCAACCAATAAATCCAGCAGGGAGGGGAAGCTCCCCACTCTCTCAAAACTTCATTACACAAGCTAATCTAAATTACATTTAAAAAAAAACTTAAATTCCTCTGCAATGCCTGGCAGGAGCTTGAATCCAAGGTTTCATGCCTTGCTGCTGTAAAGGTACCTGGAACTTGTTTCAGCCCTGTTTTCTCAGGAGACACTTCCAGATTTATGGCAGAGCACCTGACAGTGAGCACAGCCTGAAAACACAAGGATTGTTTACTGGACCACTGACTACACATTTCAAGCCAAAGCAAACATCAGCTTTTGTCATCTGTCATGGCTTAAGCTGAAATGTTTCTTGAAAGTAAAGTTTCTTTCCTTCCAAGCTTGAGGAAAATGCTGTTGCAGGTATGTGTTGCTCTTCCCCAGCCAGCTTCCATCACTCCCTTTTCCCCCTATCCCCCAAAAAAATGCAGCTTTTGGAAGAGATTCAGAAAGAGGCAGTGTGTTTACCCCCCGAAAATGGTTAGATCATCTTTAATTCTAGCACCTGAAGTTATACAAGGGTTTGCTTAATAATCAAGTTTCAAAGAACTGTTGGACACATTCAGTTAAGGTGACAACTGTGCAATACCACTCAGTATTTCAATATCAGGGACCATACTCTTGAATTGTTTAAACACAATCCACAGAACTCAAAATTAAACAACCATCCACAGTTTAACTAAACAATCAGTTAAAAGTCTTACAGTTTAATAATTCACATAATGGTCAGTCTTTAGTAAGGGATACTGAAATTCATTAAAACACAACACTAGATTTTACTCTATAGGTGTGCTGGGCAGGCACGTAATTGGCCATTCTTGGGTATAACTGGGAGAGTAAGGAGAAATTTACCACAGTTTGGCAAATCCCACATTTTGTCAGTTAAAAGTGAACTGTGAGAATTAAATACTCATCTTTACATATACACAAGTTATGCTGTGAAAGCATATTTGCTTACAAACATATAAAAATACTTGTTAACTAGTTTGATAAGAAAATAATGTATAAAAGTATATAGCAAAAACATTTAATCATCTCTGACAATGGAAAGATCAAATTCATTTTTATATCACATGAAACAAAAACAGCTACAATTTTAGTTTTCCTTAATCCCTTACCCAGAAATACAAAGGAAGACACAATTTGTTTTCAAACATAATGTGAAATTTCTTAATAAGCTGAAATGCCTCAATCCAGAATAAGCTCAGGTATTTGGCCATATCCTAATAGTAGTAGTAATCATCCTGTAGCTGTTCTGGATTCAAAAAATAAATACAGTAGAATGTTTTGGCCACCGAAATAAAACTGCAGCATAAATGAGAGATGAAAATTTTTGCTGACAATGAAATTCAGTGTAGGTTTCTTAAGGCTAGCTGAATACTCAAGTCTAATTTAACTGAGGGCAGAAACAAGCAAAAAAAAGCCAATCCACCCCGTTTTTAAAAAGTATTCTCTATACCCCAATATAGGTCTCTGTAATAGCTAATGAAATGTCAGAAGTAAAAATAAATTAATTCACAAGAGACAACTTATGCATGACTTCAACACCTCGTCCTACACGGTTTTGTTTCATCTCCTTTGCGAATAAAACTCCACAAGGTGCAAGCTCAGAAGGGACAGAAGGAAGGAACTGTGGTATTAGAGAAGCAGCCTTAGTGTTTTGGTTTGAAGTCTGCCCCAGGATGACCGAGTCTTCTTCAAGAACTATTCTGCCAGCTTCTTGGACTAAGGCTATTCTGGTGACCACTTTTAGGACATGCACATATAAGGCTAGACCAATACCAGAAGTGATGTAAAATGATGGAAAGAAAAAATATGATCTGGCAGTTGATAGCTTGGTTCTTGGCATTCTCAGAAAATAACACAATGGCAGCCTTTCTTGTCTTTTTCTTTCCGTGTTGGCTCTGGTGAAGGAGGGCACTCTTGTTCCTGAAATTTCCTGGAAACAGGTATTTCAAATTAAATTCATAGAATAATTTTCAGGTAAATAAACACAACTACTGTATTCCACACTTTCTTTTTATACTTTCATAGGGAATGCACTTCCTTTTTACATTCAAATTACTGCTAAAGTAAGTGACAGTTTTTGAGTTCACCTTCTGGGGTTGTTTTTTTAAGAAACTAAATTTTTTACAGAAGGCCAGTCTCGGATGCAGTTTATCATATTTACTGACTGAGTGGCCAACAAAACCCAAAGATTAAGACAACAAAATTATCATTCAAATATGTATTAAATTAATGTAAGAATTTTTTCTAATGCACCTAAGAATTTTATAATGGAGATTATTGGCTAAAGCTTAAAGGTAACAGCAGGCAGAATTTTCCCAGCAATTTCCCACTGCATTTCAACACCTTTGCTGCAGCTATCCATTAATACATGGGCATGAATTATCCATGAATTACCATACCTTATAACTCTGACAAGTTCATGAAAAGCTTGGTCTACATTCATTCTGATTTTTGCTGAAGCTTCCATGTACATTACTTTAAGTTGCCGTGCCAGCTGCGCGCCTTCCTCGTGTGTCACCTGCAACAGACAGCAGTCATTGAGCTCAAGGGTTCCGCAAACAGCTCTGTGCCAGCACACTCTGCATCTGCATGCTAAGGATCCAGCTCCCTCAAAAAATAATGGTTATTTGGGCACAGCACAGCTTTCACCTTGCCCACGTCATACAGCTGGGAAATAAGACTATTTTTAAAGGAAGTTTCTGCAATAGACAAAGACTGACTTTCCAAGAAATTCCCCTCACTCCGGATGCCTCCAGTTCTGCATAAGACCAAGTTTTCCTTCCCAGGCAGACATTAGTCCCTTGCTCCTCCTCAAAGCAAGTGCTTCAGTCAGCATCTGCTGGATTACTAACAGAATTCTGAATATTATTACCTAATTCACCTTTCATTGTCCCAGCTAAATCCAAAGAAAGAAACAAACAAAAATCAGACTACTCTTAAAACAACTGCTTTAAGTATTTTTTTTAAAGTCATTAAAAAAAGATCTATTAATGACATAGCAAAACACAGCCAATTTTAAACATAGCTTAGATTATCAGAGTTTTTAATCCATGAGGTCTTCAGGCAATTCAGAAATACTAAAGAAACCCTGGTTACATAATGACTCCTTGAGACAACAGTGGAAAAGGAGATGAGCAGGAAACAATGAGCATCGTGAAAAGTTGGTACAAATTTAAAGTGATGAGGCAGAAGGCAGGAAGGCAGTGGACCATTCTAGGAAGGAGGAGTAAGTCAGGCACAAGGCAAAACCAAAGGAGACCACAGTGTATTTTTGGATGAGGTGGAAAGCAGTGAGGTCAGAGAACAGAGACCACCCTGAGTGGCGCAAGGCTCCAAAGGGAAGGTCACCCCCAGGGCCAGGGAGGAAAGGGCAGCTCTCAGCGACAAAAGGAAGTACAACAGATCTTGCCAAGACAATGCCTCATGAAGAAATGTCAAAGATTACACTGCTGTCACAGAAAAACATTAAACCAGCACGTAGAGGACTGATAAAAGAACAAAAAAAAGGAGGGTTTATTTTAAAATTAGTTCTGAAAAGGAACTCAGAGTATTCATTAGATTAAGCAGCTGCACAGAAATGGAAATAGATGGGAATAGAAAAGTGGTGGCAGCATGACCACAGTGCATGGTCTAGAAGTACTTTTCAGCTTGCAAAATAGTTTCTTAACAGCTTCACAGTGGTTTAAGAACCTCCATGCATGGCATCTCCACATGTTTGATTTCTCTGTCCTTAGCATCCCACTGGCACTATATCCACACACCTCCTGCTGAAATCAGGGCTGCTCCCACTAAACCCTTGTGAAGCTCTACAAAATGCTCCCAGCACCCTGTGCCATTAGCTGGAGCAATTCAGGATGCATCTGCTGATCTCAAACACTCACAGCAACTCTGCACTCATTTCAGTGTTATCACCACCAGCTGAAGCCAAAAAAGAAACCCTCAGGACCAACTCAGCCCCAAATCAACCACTGGAGCTGCTTTTTTAACTGCAGGGCACTCAAGGAGAACTGGAAGAACTGGAACTGCAGTCCTCTACTGCTGTTTGAAAACTGAAAAATAATGAGAACTCCTGCTCCCCCAGCTAGAACTGGGGAAGCTAGAATTCCACTTCAGCTCTCCACTCTGACCTCTGATGTTGAAATATTCCAATTGCAAAGCTTATGAAGGCTGCACTTGGACAAATATTTGGCACAATATCTGGCACTTCAATGACTGTGGAATCTCCTGAAGTTTGCACCAGTGCTTCTAGAGCCTTCTGCACATCTCTACCTCAGACTAATAAGTTATATCTATAACAATTCTAGCAAAACTAACTCTTTTTACTTTTCTTCATCCCTGCATCGTTTACTGCATCCCCAGAAAGTGAGAGGCTGAAGTTCAACAAAAATAAATAATTGTCAAGGAATGTTTAATTCTGAGGAGAAGCTGAACTCAATCTTTAAACAGATGTTTAAAGAATTTCTTCAGTATTGTACCTAAAGAACTTTACAGGTACAAGTCAAACTAACACTGTAATGAAGTTAAGCTACACTTCCACAATATCCTGCATCTAAAACACTATAAATACACTGAAGTTCTTGTTGTAATTACTAGAATATCTGTAACTGTTAAATTCCAAAATAATTTTTTTCCAGACTTACAAATATATTGTCAAGTTACTTGTGGTAAATTTTGGTGACCTCAAAAGTCAGTTTGGAAACACTATGGAAACATGTGCAGTGCCCAAGATGTTAATTAGAGACCAGAACATACCAGTTCCATCTTCAAAGCTGAGGGAAATGTAAGTACAAACATAGAAATACTTGTAAATAAAACCATGATTTCTTTATATTTTTGCTGTCCCTTCTTGAGTACAACAACCCTGTAACACAACACGTTTTCCAGGAAGTGTGATGGGACAGCTTATTTAACATCACCACCAAAATAAAAACTAAGTCCTTTTTCTTCAAAGAAGACTGGATGTTATTTTGACAGAACTAAAGAGAACCACAGATTTGATGGCAGTGATTGTGTGTACATCTGTGTGTGTTGGTTCTGCAGTTTTACTGAGCTTAAGGCTGAATGCAAATGAGAACCACCCATAATGCTCACCCTTTTGCTATAGGACATTTCACTGTTTGTTTCTGGATATCACTCATTCTCCCTGTTCTGACAGTTAGTAAAAGTTTCTCAAATGAAAACTCATTACAGAAGATGTGAGCCAGTCAAACATGGACAAGTTTATTTCCCACCTCCCTAAACTAACATTCTTCTTCTGAAACAGTTTCCATTTGAGTATCTGCACAATAATCCTGTGAACTTAGGTCCTCCTCTCTTCACTATTCTGTCTGGTATCTGTCAGAAATACATTAATTTCTGAAGTTTCCATGCTTTCCTCCACCTAAAGCAACTCCAAAAGGCTGCCTAACCTAACACTGCACCTGTATTTTGCCTGGACACTTACACAAGACTAAGGGACACACCACACAGGTAAACAATTAAATGTTTCCTCAAGTTTGAGAGGAATCCATTTCTACCATTCTATGGTCACCCTACAGAGCTCCCAGCACAAAAACACTACCCATTTCTGCCAGGAGTTCCATCACTCCTGAGGAGTGCCATCTGTCATCCCAATTTTTCTACAGGGATAATTCACTGTCCCCTAACTCCAGTTTGTCCACACTCTCCTGTCAAAGCTACAATCTGTCTGTGGGCACAGAGCTGTCCCTGGACATAGTCCCAACTTCTACCACTGCAAGAAGTTATTGTCACACTTTCATACAAGAAAGAGATGGTTAAGAGTTAAGTCAGATGGATCTCTCTTTCTCTTCTTGCTTAAAAGGTAACAGAGGTGATCTCAGCTCTAGGTCGTTGTGTTAGTTCAGTCACAATGCAAAAGCAAGAACTGGCATTTAATGAAACCCAAGCACTTTCCTGTTGCAACTTGGATTTTCCTTGAAATCCTGCCATCTGGGGAATGATTAGACTTGACCCAGTTTAAGCTAGCAGTGATCTACAGAAAGTCAGACATATCCTGCACTGACAAGTCTACTCCTCCACCACTAGTGGTTATTATTAAAACATCTGGTGCTCTACTGAATTATCTTACAGTAGAAACATCCAGTGTTGAGTTCTAAGGAATTAACCCATTTAACAGAAAGACTGCTACACAGCATTTACTTTAGGAAAGAGCAGTGAAGAGATGGTGCTTCAATTCTGGTTTCAGAGTCAGCAATTTGTGACAGGGGAATTTGGAAATACTGGCAGCCTCACTGCTTATCATACATTCTAAAGATTAATGCTTCCTTGTCCTCTAAAGACTCACTTTTCTTTGTCAATGTAACCCATGGAGATTGAGAGATGAAAATCACAAGAAAGCTGCTTAACTCTATTTATCTATACAATTATTACCATGACAAATTGCTATTTCAAACTTGCTCTTTCACGTCCCTCCCAAAACCACTTGTGAGTTGGTCTCTGGTATATAAAGCCCCACTAATTTACACCGCACCTTTGGTGAGC